AAGTTAACCTAATTAATCTAATTAATTATTATAAATATTTTAATGAAAAGAAATGATTTTGGTGTATTTTTAAAGAAAATTAATTAAATTATATACAATTCAAATCCTAAGTCTAATTATTTTTAATTATAAAAAGAGGTTAAATTGCCCTAAGTTAATTAAACTAAATTAATTAAGAAATAAAATATTTTTTATCAAAAAAAATATTTTTGTAGTTTGTTGTGATTTTTTGATTAAAAAAAAAGAAAATGATTTTTGGGTTAATTAATTAAAACAAATAAAAGAAATCAATTAAAGAAATTAAAAAGAAAATAGAAAAGAAAAATGTGAACTGGGCCTGTATGCTAGCAAATGGGGGGTGCCAATCTGAATTTTCGAGGCCCAAAAACGCTTCAAGCCTGGTCAGCGTTGGATTCCTTGTAGCGTTGACCTGAGGGTGCATCATAGTCCATCATTGCCTGTGCGTTGGATCTGGTACTATGTTGGATCAAGTGGCTGGATATTGATAGAGTATAGTAGACCCTTTGATAAGAAGTGCATGCAATCTGCATTCAGAAAATAGGAAAATAGGCGTTGCTGGGACCTGGGATTGAACCCAGGTCCTTATGCTTACCAACCATATGCCTTGCCAATTGCGCTATGTGTTTGAACTGTTAGTATAATGAAAACCAAATATAATATAAAGAAAACAAGTCCCTGATTCCCACGCGCGCGAATTTTTAAATGGTCCAATGATGATTGGACACGCCATCATCTTCTCCAAGGAACCATCGCTTTTGGTATTGACCCTTTACCTACGGACAAACTCGTCACTATAGGCTATAGTGACGGTTTCTTATGCGTGGCTAAAATCTGTAAAAATCTTAAAATGAAATTCAAGCCACATAAACTCCATTCAAGGGCATGGATCCACTGTACTTCATCCCCTGAACATGAAGAGACCCTTAATTTGGCCCAATTTTGCCTCTATCTAGGATTCCCCAATTTGGAGCTCACGAACCCTAACCATGGCAAATAGTTATTCCTGCATCAAAACTCAAATCCAGGCTATCATAAAGCTTCTTAGCATGATCCTAAATATGTATATGCAAGCAAATTGGATTAAAAATGCGTAAAACTGGAGGAACAAGTTTGAGTTCAGAGGATGCAAACCGTGATGTATAGCTGGTGATTCTGGTGGTTTGATGACTTGGGAATGATTGGAATAGCTTCTACGCACGCCCGGGAAGAGACTGCTAGCTTCAAATTGCCTTGAATCACCCTATAGACTGAAAATTGAGTTCCACTTTTTGTAAGAAATCCATGTTTTGTTTTGTGTTTTTCACGACTGCAAAACCTTGTTTTTTGGTTTGTTCTTGTCCAATATATATCTAGGAACGCATTAGGGTTACAAACTTGGATTGAATCTTTACAATTATAAGAGATTTGATTTTATTTTCATGCTACATATAAACTTGCTATTTTGAGCCAAATCTTCCCTTTCTTGTACCAATTATGCTTGATTCGTTTTGGCCTTGATAATTCAGCATATTTTGATTGCCAACCTGTCCAAAAACCAAATCAAATCATATCTTTGCTATTATTCATCAATTATTTGATTTAATTCAATTTTTAATTAATAAAAAATCAAGATAAATTGAAAAATGAAGCAAATAATGTGTGGGTGAATATTTGAGTCGTGGACCATATTATAAGTGAGGTGCATGCATAAAAAGTTAGGCCCATTTAGCAAAAAAATGCATTTTTGAGCATATTTGACTTTTGGCAATTTTGCAAAAAGGGTCAACTTTGACAAGGCATATCTCCCCCAATTTTAACCCTAGAGAGGTGTTCTTGGACATTTTAGAAAGATTAGGATGTCCCCTAATCAACCCTTTTGGTCTCATATCAATTGAGTCTTCCATGTTCATGTAAGAAGCTTTGACCCAAAAGGTGTTTTTGTTAAATTTTCAAAAGGACCCATAATGTGGAAATTCATATCTTTTTGTGAGTGCATATTTTGAACTTGTGGGATGAAGATGAGTTGTAGGTAATTGCATCCTTTTCAAAATTAGCTTTGGATGGAAAAGTTATGATAAAGCATGTGGAAGTTATGATTGGTCAAAGTTTGGTTGACTTTTACTAAGAAACCCTAATTTAGCAACTTTTGGGTTTTGATGAATTTAGAGCATTCCTTGAAGAATCATGATCAACCCTTGATAAAATGATGAAATTAACTTCAAAATGTTACTGTTGACAAAAAATATTGAAGTTTGACTGTATGTGGGTCACATTTGACTTTTGACCTAATACAGTCGATTCTCAAGCATCTGAGCAGTTGACTGAGCAAACTTCTTGTGAAAGGTATGAAACTTGACATGTAGGGTCTTCAGAATATATTAAGACCATGGAGAGCATATGAGACCTTTGGGGTTCACCCATCTTGATGAAAATGGAAACCCTAATTTGAGGTATACTGCCTTAGGAGAAGTTTGTCTGGTCCACTCTTGGGCAACCTTGAGCAAATTGAGGACTCCAATGGGCTTGCATTGAGTAAAATGAGAGGGAAAATTTTAGGGTACAACACTAAGCCAGTGCTTTTTAAAATCGCTTTCTATCATACAATATCTAGCAGCACTTTCACGAGAAAGCGCTTTCTTAAGTGGGGCGAATTTAAGGCCTTTAGCAGCGCTTTTTAAAAGCGCTTTCTAAAGGTTGTCTGTAGCAGCGCTTTTTTTAGCAAATTTTTAAAAAGACCTACAACAGCGTTTTCTCAATAAAGTGCTTTCTAAAGTAGGGCATTTAGCAGTGCTTTTAAAAAGCGCTTTCTAAAGGTTGTCTGTAGCAACACTTTTTTTAGCGTATTTTTTAAAAGATCTACAGGAGTGTTTTCTCATTAAAGCGCTGTCTTTTTGGTGATGCCAAAAGTCAATTTTGGCGTAGTGTTTACTACAATAAGGAAAAAATCAATTTTAATAATAAATGTTAATATTTAATACTAAGTCAAATTCAATTTTTATGATAAATGTTAATATTTAATACTTGGTCGTCTTGACTATTGTGATACAAAAAGGATTGTCAGTGTTAAGTATTAGAGGATTTCTTTTTCCATCCTATGTTTTTTTAACGTATCATGCGAAATTCTAAAATTATCCTTAAAAATCATAAATATATTTCCGATACGCACTCACACACATATAAATCATTCATTTTTTAGATTCACCCTATTTTTACGATAAAATTTATTTCAGAAATGTACTTTCGGAAATTCCCGAAAAATGCGCTTCTGGTAGTGCAACTTATTACTTCCGATAGTGCAACTTAAAAGGTCACACAGTTCACCGAGTAAATTACTGCAACTTATTATTTTCTTTCTTTCATTTTCAATTTTATAGGTAAATTGTATATTTTAAAATAAAATAATCTTAATACTCTACTAATCGGTTGTTTTTATATGGAGAGAGGCAAATGTCTATGATCACAAAAACTGCATTAAAAATAACTAATAAGTTTTAGGCAAAATTTTCATAAACGAAATTACATTAGTAGGCAAAGTGAGATTTTGTCGAAGCTTCTTAAATTAGCTTTAACATTCGTTATCATATTAGTAATTTTTTTAATCCTCCAGTGGTTATCTAATGTCTACGTACCAATAACTTGACATTTCCATTCCTTTTGAGGAGGTGGATAGGTGGTGTCCTATGAGTAAAGATCTTATCACTCGGTGTCATATGTAAAGCTTGATACATATCATAATCGGAAATCAAAAATATATTTTTGGGAATTTTTGGAAGTATATTTTCGAAATAAGTTTTATTATAAAAATTAGTAAAGGACTCGTGCGTTCGCACGATTCGCGTAAAGTCGATATAAATATTAAATAAAGATTATATAGTTATGATTAAGAAATGTATATAAAAATATATAGGAATTAAAAGAAAAAAAGCTTTAAATGATCATTATCACATAAATTTTAATTTAATTTATTAAGTTGTAGTAATTGTCAAGATATACATAGAAATTGTGTTGAAAAATATAAGTATATGGTCTAGTATACTTCACACACATATATAAAATTGATTATCTATTTATGTGTTTGTATGGTTGTGCAATATCGTTATAAATAACAAATAAATATAATATAATAATGGTTAAAAAATATATATAAAAGATATACAAATTAAATAGTATTAACCTGTCAGAAATATATATTTTAGTAGTTTAAGATATTCCGTAATAGAATAATAATGAGAATAAGAAACAGAAAAAATAAAATTTAAATAAAAATAAAGAATGAGTCTAAAGGATGTTATAAGGTCCATCGAAAACCTTAATTATTAAAAAAAAAATAGTAAAGAAAAAAATATTAAATCAATTACTGAATATACCAATTAAAAGTAAGATATGTAGAATAAACCGCTTCTATTTATTTTCATCTCTCTGTTCACCGTCTTTTCATCTTTCACGCTTTATCTCACTATCTGTTCTTTCCAAATCTCATGAAAACAAACAACAATCCTGCTTTCATTCTCACACTTCCTTATCTTATTTTTACAGTTCTGATTTCGTTTGCATAATCTCAAAATTCGGATCCAAACTCTTTATCTCTCGTAAGTCGCTTATTACAGTTCCATTTCAATAATCATTTATTTGTTTCGACTATGTTCGGTTATAAATTTTTTACGGATTTGATTTCAGTTTTTACAAGAAAAACAACAATCAATCAATACAATCACACCTGGATTCGTAGCTTGAACAAGACAAAGTCTAAAAAATAAATTAAAAATGTGTTTGATTCATCGACACGCACGTTTAAAATGGGTCCTCGGTTGATGGGCCATGAGAAAATACACCAAACCCATTTATGAATCGGGTCATTTGAACCGACCCGAGTCATTGCCAAACTCTTCCTTCCACGATCAATGAATTCTGAAACTTGATCTTCTTCCTCCAGCATAGCAATCAACCAAATGACTGTAACTTCAACATCTGCTACTACATTCTAATCCCAACTCTAAACAATGAGACGAAGACGCGAAACTCACCAAGATGAAGACACCAAACAAACACTCCAAACTCCAAATTTCCCCAAATCAGTTTCAGATAAACAAATCTTCATTTTTTGCTTAGCATTCCGAATGCTGAATTCACTTTTAGTGCAGAGTTACTTCAATCCCGATGAACACTGGCAAGGTCCCGAAGTTGCACATCGTATCGCATTCGGGTAACAAAACTTCGATTTTCATTCTTCTTTTCTTTCTCCTTCTAATTCGATGCTAATCTCGCAGGTACGGTCACCTAACATGGGAATGGAAGCAGGGTATCCGAAGCTACTTCCATCCATTGATCTTTCTTCCTCTTTACAAAATTCTCGGATTATTGCATCTGGATTCCCCTTGGTTTATGGTAATTGATTAATTATATATGTTGTTAATTAGGGTTAAATATTTTGCGGTTATTGAATTATTGTTAAGAGTCACACGTCGGAACATCTATAAAGTGAGAATAGTTCTCATCCTACAAGCAGGTTTTGTATGATTGAGTTAGATACAACCATACATCTTAACATGGTATGAAGAGTCCGGTTTAAAATCGATTTTGCTAGTGAATTTTCTTATCATAATATGTCATGGACCTGATCATAACATGTGCCTATTAGTGGTTGAGTTAGGTCCAACCATACTTCTTGACCGATATTGTTATTTTAATTCAATGTATTGTTTTTCTTAGATGAGAGCTCCAAGGTTATTACAATCAGTGTTTTCTGCAGTTGGTGATTTGTACTTGTACAAACACTCTGCAATTCTCTTTGGTTATTCCGTTGCAAAATGGGCAGTATCCTTTGTTTTTTTCATGTTTGAAGTTCTTGTTTGTTGCATTATTGTATATAGAAAGAAACATTTTACTGTTACCTTAACTATATATCAGCTTTTTTCCCAGTTGTCGAATTGGTTTATGTTTTATTGCTTTTCTCGTACATTATCTAATAGCTTGGAGACTGTTCTTACACTGGTGTCTTTATACTTTTGGCCTTGTATGAGAATTTCGGGCAAAAGTTCATATGTTTCTAGGAAGTGGGGTTTAGTCCTGGCAGCATTAGCTTGCGCTATTCGCCCAACAAGTGCAGTCACATGGATATATGTTGGTGTCGTTGAGCTTTTTAACGCACGTGACAAATTGAAGTTTGTTTTTTTGGAGGTGGCTCCTATTGGGTAATGTTTTCGAACCAGTTATTGCAGATGTGGGCAAATAGCTGATATCAGTGCTGTAGCATAGTGAAATTTGATACAGAGTTAATATAAGTTCTGTCAAATAACAGCTATATATTACTGTAGTATAGCAGAGTTTGAACAAACCGCTACTTTTTGCGATCTATGATTGATAACACTATTTATTACACACTCTAATTCAATTTTGACCTATCTTAAATTCTTACTTGTGGTTTTCATATTTCTGTTTCATTCTATCAGGACCTTGGTACTTGGGCTTACCTGCTTATTAGATCGTTTTATGTATGGAACATGGGTTCTAGTACCACTGAATTTTCTAAAATTCAATTTTCTTTCCTCGGGCGGAGACTATTATGGAACTCACCAGTGGCACTGGTACTTCACTCAGGGATTTACAGTCATGATCTTCTCTCATATACCATTTTGTATAGCCGGTATCATTTATTCCAAACAGTGGAAGTTTACTGGCCTCCTTGCTTGGGTGTTGAGTTTCTACAGTATCTTAGGTCACAAGGAATTCAGGTATTTCAATTCCAAAATTTTACATATATGCATGTTTACATGCACCCGCCTTTTTGGTTTGATTTGATTAATGATAATAATTACTGAGATACAGGTTTGTCTTGCCAGTTCTTCCCATAGCTCTGATGTTCTCTGGTTATTCTTTGGCTATGATAGAAGATCCCGGTGCCGGTTCTTCGCAGTATAAAGAAAAAAAGTTTTCAAAAGAGCATAACAAATGTCCTCCCAAGATGACAGCTGCTATAATATTTTTGCTTGCTACCAATATACCAATGGCTTTGTATATGAGTTTGGTTCATCAGGTATCTAATCTCTCTTCACTGAGTTTCGAGATTATTTATTTCTCTAGTTACTGTTTGTTCTTCTTATATCTGTAAACATTTAGCCAGAAATGTTTATTCTAGATTCTTTATTTTCTCAACAGAGAGGACCTGAGGATGTCATGAACCACCTCGCTAAAGAAGCTTTTCAAGGGAAAGTGAAAAGTATCCTATTCCTAACACCTTGCCATGCTACTCCATACTATTCCATGCTGCATCGTAACCTACCAATGCAATTTCTCGACTGCACGCCAAGGTTTGAAATTAATAATTTAGGAATGTCCTCTAACGTTAATTGAAACTGAATTAAGTTCATAATCGATGTTAACATATCATTTTCAGCAGTGAAGAGAAAGGAGTTCTAGATGAGTCTGACCGTTTCATGACGGACCCTGTTTCTTTTATGTCAAAATTAGCAAATAATTGGTCTTTTCCCAGCCACATTGTTTTATTTGATCCAGAAGAGCAAAAGTTGAGAAGCTTCTTAAGTTCATTTGATTATAGAGAGGTAATTTACAAGACTGTCTTAAGTTAATCATTGCTATAAATACTGGTAATTTGTTCTAATTTGATATTCCTTCTTTAGGAGAAAAGGTTTTTTAATGCTCACTTCAAGGTAGATCGTGATCTTCAAGCTTCAATAGTTGTATATGTTCGAATAAGATAGCATCATCTGATCTACAGCAAATGGCAAGTACTGTGACAGTCCATTGTTGGTTGCTTCAAATGTTAATTTTGGTAACTAAGGTCTCTTAAATGACTTCATAGTGATTGTAAATGTTTCTATACTATGTTTTAGATGTCAACATTTTATTTTAAGAAAGATGGCCCACATTTCTCAGGATTGTTTTCTGATTTGACATCAGTAGGGTAGTGATTAGGGCTGTTAATAAAAACCATGAACTGAACCGACCGAAGTTAAAATAACTGAACCGTTATGTTTCGTCAGTTCTAGCAAGTTGCCGGGAAGACTTGACAATAAGTTTTAAAAAACAGAGATTGCACGTGTTCGCAAATGAAGTGGTAATTGATGTCTTTGTGTCTGGAATGTTCATGACTTTAGAGGATTAGAAGCCAATTGAATGGACTCCTTCTAAAGTGGTTGTTTTAGAAGTTGTTTGGCAACTCCACCTTGATAAAACATCCACAGGAGAGAACCTTCTTAGGAGGCATGTCTTACACAACTTTAGTGATGTTACATGTGGGTTGTGTAATGGTTCTTTGGAGTCACTTTTCCGTGACATGTGAGATTGTGGCTAATCTTTGGTATAAAAGTTTAAGTGACTTGATTTTTTGTCTCCCTGGAGATTTTTTTTTCACTGAGACTTTTATATTGTTGGGAAATTATGATTTGACATTTGATGGTGTAGACATTTAATCTCATACCTCAATATTTAACTTTTTTAAAATCAAAATACCCTTCATATAAATAAGTTATTTTTCAAAAAAAAATTCACTTTTCTTCACTCTTGTTTATCACCCTTCCGAAACACAAAATTTGTCCGCATTCTTGAATTCTTGCCATAAATCCTCTTGTTCACATTTTTCAAACCGGAATTTCTGAAGTAAGTGTTCCGATTTTATTTTATTTTCGAAACTCCTGAACCAATTCTTACGTTATACAACAACACACCGGAAGACATTTGCAAAGAGTTTTGGTTTTTCTAAAACACATACCGGAAGTCTTCAACAATTTGTTCTGGTCATTTTAAATTTTTATAAATCGGAAGTCATCTATCAAAATGTTCCTATTTGCATTTTTTTTAATATTCTTTTAGTTTTTGTGATTTTGGTAGTGGCACGAATACGAGACAGGGACAGTCAGATTCTAGGTCGTAGTTTAGGACGGACTCTACCGATGTTGGTAGGTAAGGAAGAGCATATTGGTGCATATGTATATGCACCACAATCAATTGACTTTTCAGGAGGACCGTATGATACGTCTCTTCTGGTAAAGTACGAGCATAATGTTGCTCGACATATATTGTTTGGTGAGGTACGTAAATGATATTTATTTTATATTGAATAATATTTAAATTTTAATTTGTGTGTTATATAATGTATACTTTTAATTGTTTTTAGGATCGAGGCCCGAAGAAAAAGTTGAATGTTGCTGGACATGGGTGAAGGTGTGAAGAAAATGCAAGAAAGGGGGGATTTGCATTGGGTTTTCCTTTCTTTAAAAAACTTTGCTTCTAAACATTATTCGTTGAACAATGCTTCTGATTGTTGCTTCAAAGTAATGCTTCTAACTAAATTAAGAAAACATAAACTCTAAGCATATGGAAAAGTAAAAAACACGTGATATATCCTGGTTCACTTGAGAAATCACCAAGCTAATCTAGTCCACCCTTCCGAGGTGATTTCGCCTTGATCTCAAGGACTTAATCCACTATAATCAATCTGATTACAATCGCACGGGTAACTATCGGTGACTAACATCCAATGACGCGTTCAGGGATCCAAATCGGATATAACGTTCATTGACCCAACAGAATATGATTCTCCAGAATCTCCTATAAGGATTTCCTTCTAATGATATCCATCAATGATCTCAGAAGGCTGACCTTCACTCAGTCTCCTTTGAGATATGACTACCATTGGTCAAATAGAATCTACTACCAGGATTTCATCTACGATAACCGCAGTCAAAGTCTTCTTTAGAATTCTGACTCAACCGAGTCTCTCAAGGAACCATCAAACAACTGTTTGATTTACATTTGTTTACAGTAATAATGTTTCTACACAAGCTGGATGTAAGCAGAATTAAGTACACCAGAAGAGCCTAATACACACTAAAAAATATTATATTTCATTGTAGCTTTAATGTGTGGTCTTCTTTTCTTCAAGTAGCTTCTTCACGGAAAACAGCCCAAAGCACTTGAAGTGTTGAAGTCTTCTTCTTCATAAGCTTATGAAAGCTTTGTTGATCTTTGTTCTGGACTGGCCCAACAGTTAGAATAGGCTCAGTCTAACCCTTTCTTTCGGCACAATACATACGTCCATGACCTGAACCTCCCTCGCTCTCCGTCGGGCAATATCGACGACACTATGGACGATGGCGGAGGCGACAACAGTAGAGCAAAAGAAGACAAGGATTTCAGATGTCGAAACCCTAATATTGGGACGACAACAATGGGGGTTGAGCAAGGGTTTGACGACGGCGCACCAGATCTTCGTCTCTGTTTTTTTTATAATTCTCTTTGTCTGTCTTCTCCTTTTGTAATCTCTCTCCCTATAACTTTTCTTTTACTCAATTTCGTTGCCCCCTGTACTGTTCTTTAGTCTAGGTTTTTTATAGTGTTTTACCTAAGGATTAAATTTAGGAAATAAATCAATGTGTCTGTGATTTAGGGTTTGTAATTTGGGAAACAAAATTATTGTTGTCTGTAAAATTTAATTATAAATTAATTAGGATTTGAATTAGGTTTAGGAAATGATTGAATTTGTCTATATATTTGTTCTTGATTTTGATTGTAATAAATTGTTTCTGTATTTAGCTATTGCAAACTTTGAATGATGATAAATTTGTTTTTGTATTAAGTTTTGATTAAGGCAATAAAAACGACTCTGTTCATGATCTAAACAGTAATCGTTCGTGGAACCAGTGTTTGCACCGTACGCGATTTTTGCTGTTTGGGCCAAAAACAAATTTAATGATGTGGGACCATGATGTCTTGGTTTGTATTGCAATGATTTTGGGTTTTTGCTTTTATGCATTTTTTATATCTGAAAATTTGTATTGAAAAAGGCCGGTGATACGTCTTGGATTTGGGCTGAAATTGATGTGGACTTGAATTATTTTTGAACTCAAAATGTTTTCCTTTTTTACAAATTATCAGACCACCATATCCAAAAGATAAGAAAAAGTTTTCTCAAAACTAAAATGGGTCAGAGGTTTGGGCTTGTGAAAAAAAGTCTTCTCTGTTTAATACTAAAACAAAATTTTAATTAAAATTATAATGATCTAACAAAAATCAGTAACAATAATTTATGATAATGATTAATAATAAAAGTAATCAAAAGGATAAAAATGTCACTAATGATGACAATTCTCAAACAAAAACAAAAATGATCAAGCCATACAATTTAACTTATTAGGTTTTATCAAATACAAATGAATTCCTTTAAGCACCCTCTTTAAAATAAAAAGAACCTTAATGGGCCTTAAGAAAACATATTGCTTCACACATTCTTCACAAACTTAAATGGGACTTAAAGAAATGATTTGTTCACACTTCCTCTTAAAACAATACACCTCCATTGACCTGAGATGAACTTCTATTTTAAAATCATAATGGGCCATCAGATATTGATGGTCCACTTTAAATCTATACACCCATTTTCCACGTTTTACTCCCTTATTGGAATAAAAACCATATAAAGTGAATCGATTAACAAGAAACCTACATATAATACAAGGGTAGGACAAATTTGGGGTATGACACATGCGGAGTAACATAGATATTTAGGGTGTTAATACCTTCCCTTTGCATAACCAACCCCCGTACCTAGATTCTCCCCTCTTTTTTTGGGTTTATTCGCCATTTTCCCATTTCCTTTGAAAACAATAAAACGCGGTGACGACTTTTATTTGATCTATACGAGTTAAGTCAATCCAATGGCTTAGTCTTAACATTTCTACCGCCACACCAACCATAAAAGATAATTTTAAACCCAACCTCTCAGCACATTCAAGTGAAATAAATGAATGAGTAACAACAGTATCAATAATAACAATCAACTCAACATTGTATATGAAACATGTACCTCTGATCAAGTTATCTGTATTGGGGACTTATGAACCACTCAAAGAAAACACTCTACCATTAGTCTACGCAGCAGTAGATGTCACCTTCTTTGGCTTATGGCATTTCATACTGATATGAGCTTATTCACCACAGTTATAACAAGTCGGACCATCATTCTTCCACTCAGCAACACAGTGAGAGGTCTCCCACATTTGAAACACCTCAGAACCCTATTCGTACAATCATTATTATGGTAGCCTGACTCACCATACTTATAGCATTTGATAGAAGCGGGAGACGCTCCCCTACTTATCTTCTTCCCTTCTGAAATCTTCTGTCTCCTTATCAGCTGGAGCACTATAAGATTTCCCAGGATCCTGGTTTTATTGAGTGCAATTGTATTGATCAAAGTTGAAACAATGAACCTGATTGAATATAACTCGATGGAAGTTGACCAAGAAGGTGAAAAAACTAAAGGGCTTTTGCATTGCTCAACTTATTGAAAAATGAGTTTGAAAGGTACTTTGCTACAACAAGTGATTTTGATGTAAATGGTGACGAAGTGGAAAAATAGCTCCAGAAGAAGTTCATCATCGAGTAAAATATGCATGTGATTATTTGATTAATTGTTCAAAATATCATATTCAATGTTGATGCAAGCTGAAAATTCCAATACTTTCTTTGTGTTAGTGTTTGGGATTTTGAGACTATATATACATACAGAGAATGAGTCGTTTGTTAACCTTTTATCTCCAACTAAAGGCTACCAAATTTAATACCTATATCAAGAACACCTGAAATTACTAGTCTAACATGATATTTTCTTCTACCTTAACATTAATCTCCAAGACATTTGCTTGCTTGATGAAATATATTTCTACTTTGGATGGAACATATATGGATTATGTATAGTCTA